CGTTGTGATTCCAGGATTTCCATTAGGGCCGTTAGTGCGTTCTTTTCAGAGATATTAGTATACATTGATTCCACATCGAAACATACCAACAAGTCCGTTTCTTTCAGTGCCTTTTTTTTGATTTTTTGAGAAAACTCATATGAATGTTTTACCGTGTTTGATAGCCTCATTTATTTTCTTGAGTTTAAAACATATAAACTTTGCCAGTTTGTTTGTTGCTCGATACTTGTTGTTGCCTATAAGCCTGTGGCGCGCCTATCTTGTGAATCTTCGATAATTCATATGCTGTTGGTGGTCGTGCATCCTTTTTTATGATTGAATTTCTTGTCCATGCGTCAATCTCCCCATTCATATGCATATCTTTTAGCATGGCACTTAGATCCCATGGTCCTGTCTTGTAGAATATCTTCCATCTTCTCGGTTTATTTTTTTTTGTCCATTATCACTGTAGCTCCTTTGTCCGCCTGAAGGACTAATTGTCTTTTTTTTAGGGTTTTGCATATCCCAATAAATCTATTCCTGTGTGTAGGCTCCTGATGGGTCAAGATCTTTGGGATTAATTCCATCTCCATTTCCCGTTATGTTTCCTCTGGGTACTTGTCGGTGATATTGATAACCTCGACCAAGATGTCTCCTAGAAGGCTCCTGTGATGTTGAATTAAAAAATCGAGTCCTTTCTCCAGGAGCGCGGTTGTTTCGGGATTAAGAGGTATTGATGATAAGTTTACTACTTTCTTCTTTTCCCCGTGCTGATCAGTAAGTGTTGCCTTTTTCGAAACAAATTCAACTGGGCGCACTGTTTTCAACTTAGGCTGTCTAAAAATCCCAAACTTAGGCAACTTATCGTCATGCCGTTTGGTTATTAAGTTAGAAATCCTACGTGATTTCCTTTCCGTCATGGTCTGGAGTGCAGAGAATGGCAAGGCTCACTGATGATGCTGGCGAAACATTTGAGAATGTATCAAGTCCACTGTCAGATGCTGGGAATCAAGACAACTACTATGGCAGAC